TTTTCAAACCCTAAAATAGCACAATAAGCTTAATTGATACTCACTTATCAAAATCTACTCTCACCACAATCCCAGACGGAGTCGCAATCTCCCCGCCAACCTGCCCCCTAATCTGGTGGCCCATTTCCTCATGCGTGAGCCACACGCACCACTAGCAGCAAAAGCGTGTGAGCCACACACCAGCGACAGCCAGACACCAAGATCTGACCTTTTTTCGGCTTGCCACACGCGATCTGGAGTGTATCGCACCTCCTGGCTCCTACCTTTATGCGGCTGCCGCGCATTCGGCCAATCCGCCGGTCAGAGTCTTCCCTCGCACTGTTTAGGCCCTTCCGCACACAAAGACAACCCGATCTGGCCTTCCCACGTGCCAAGCTATCTTGATATGCTCCGTCCGTGCACTAAGTCGCGCTGCATCTGCCGGTCAAAGCCTTCCGCCATGCCATTCCAGCCTTCCGCGCACGGACGTCTAGATTTGCCATTCCATGCGTTGGGCCACTCCGATCTAGTCTGCCGTTGTTTCTTCGCCGAACCAAGTTGTTTCTGGTCACTGTTTCCAAGCTCACAGCGGTTTTTTGGCCTCCATTTATGTCGGTCAAAGGATGTATTTTATCTCGTTGAGATTAGCTACTAGGTATTGTCTTTTTCATATCTCTAGTTACTTTAAACAATGACAAAAGTACAGAAATTGATTGTTCCTAGTTCGGATTATCCTTTATCAACTATTAAAGTCTTTTCAAACGAGAAGATCCAAATTCTAGAACGTATCATATCTCAATTTAATCATTCATCAGCCATTAGTATATCTAAAATGGTAAAATCAAATATTACTCATCTCTTTATTATTTTCAATACTGATACTTGGATTATAAACTCTGAAGTTAACAAACACTTGATAAACTCTTTAAAGAATTCCTAACTTATTTTCCTTATACTAAAAGGAAAAATATTCGTGAAACATATGGATCATACACTTTTGTGTTTGGGACAGGTTCTTTGATTATATTTCCATCATTAAATTGTCTTTACTCCTTTATGTGATTAGTTTTTCTAACAATCAATCTTTTATCCATCGATGCCATCGCTAGAAATTTTAATTGTAAAATTAAATTTTTTTCTAATTATTGTGTTCTTCATGATCTTCAAACAGGGAAGACGATTGACATTGGCAAACTGCAGAATTGCTTATATGTCTTGGATAGAAGTTAAAGTGTAATTAGGAATCATGCTATCTTCGAAAATATGAACATCAATTAAGAAATCCTACAATTGCATCGAAGGTCGGGACATCCTTTTTCTACTCTAGAAAAAATATATCCAAGTTTATTTAAAAAAACTTTTCTGAATTCCTTATTTTGTGATGCATGTGAGTTAACTAAGCATAAAAAGAATTTCTATCATGTGAGTAACCATAAAAGTTCTACCCTTTTATGACTATTCACTCTGATGTTTCGATCTCTACTCAGAACACCTCCTTATCTTGTAATAGATGGTTTGTTACTTTTATTTATTATTGTACTAGATTAATATATATTTATCTATTGAAATCAAAAAGTAATGTGTTCTCATACTTTATTCATTTCATAAAATGCTATGCATACAGTTTGATACTAAAGTGAAAATTTTAAGAACAGACAACCGTACAAAATATATTAATAGTGCGTACAAAATATATTAATGGTAGATTTCATGCCTACTTGGAATTTAATGAGATAATCCATCAGATAAGTTGTGTCTATACCAGTGAATAAAATAGTATTAATGAAATAAAAAATGGATACATGATGAAAGTAAGTCGATCTCTTATATTCACAATGAATTTACCGAAAATTTATTAGAGATATGCAATTTGTTTAGCTACTTACCTTATCAACAGAATGCATTTGAGAACTCATGATTTTACAAACATGTTTGGATGTGTTTAGTTTGTTCGTACTAGAAACGTTGGCAAGTTGGAATCCAGGGTCCTTAAATGTGTATTTGTTGGATATTTTCCTACTTAAAAATGTTACAAATATTATTATTCTCCATGAAATAGATATTTTGTGATTATGAATGTTACTTTCAGAAAATTTGAGTCTTATTTCAAGTCAAACTCAACCCTCTTCAGGAGGAGAGTGAGAAAGAAGAGGTTATACCCAGTTTGTTAACTCTTGACAAGTTTATTCAGGGGAGAGTTTTAACTCAAAAGATCTTATTCAAGAAAATAATGTGGGGCATCTGAATAAACCAGACTTGAAGAGGTACTCAATGAAGAATAAGACAGAAAAAATCATCGTGCAATCTAACTCAGGTCAAGAATCTTCTTCAATTCCTAAAAATGCCGGTGAGTTACCTTTACTTTATGATTTATTTGATGATATGGATAAACTCATTGCTCTTAAAAAAGGAGTTAGGTCTTGCACTAAACACCCTATATTTAATTTTTGTTTCTTATGACTCTCCATCTCCCTCCTATAGAGTTTTTGTTTTATTTGTTTTCTATGCATCTATTCCACATGATTGAAAATAAACTACAAGATCTCAAATAGGATGAAGGCATGATTGAAAAAATGAAATATTTGACAAAGAATAAAACTTGGGTGGTTATTTCACTTCTACTAAGAAAAGATGATTGCAAATTGATGTTTACTATAAAACACAAAGTGGACAGGTCGATTGAAAGATATAAAATTATATTAGTGGTTAAAGGGTTTACTCAGACTTGTGAAATGGACTATCAGGAGATATTTGCACCTGTTGCGAAGATGGATACAGTCAAAATATTGTTATATTGTGCAACCAACTTTGATTGGGACTTTCATGTAGACTTAGAGGAAGAGTTATACACGAAGATTCTCTCTAAATTTGAAGACAAAAGAATACAAGAAAAGGTTTGCAAATTAAAGAAAGTCTTATATGGATTGAAGTAGCATTCAAGAACATGGTTTGAAAGGTTTAAAAGAGTTATGGTTTCTTTTACATATCAATAAAACAATGTTGATCATACCATGTTTATTAAACATTATAAGAGTAAGGTCATCTTCTCATTGTTTATGTAGATAAGATTGTTGTGACTAGAGATGATATAAGGAAATGACTCGATTGAAAGAACTTCTAACTCAAGAGTTTGAAATAAAAAATTTAGAAAAATTGAAATATTTCTTAAGAATCAAAGTTGTCAGATCTAATAAAGAGATTTTCATTTCTCAAATAAAATATATTCTAAACTTATTAGAAAAGACTAGTATGATGGCCTGCAAGTCGGCAAAATCTCCCATTGAAAATAATTACAAACTACAAGCGGGAATTGGTACATTAGTAAACTTGAAGAGATATCAGAGATTGGTTGGAAAATTCATTTATCTATCACATAGCAGACCCGAGATAACATATGCAGTTATCTTGGTGAGTTAATACATACATGACCCTTGCAAGCCTCATCTACATGTCATTTTTTGTATATTCTAATATTTAAAATTTGCACCAAGAGAATGTCTGCTCTTCTCCAAAAATGACCCCTGTAAGATATAAGTATTTACAGATACTTACTGAGCTGGATCACCATATGACAGAAGGCAAATTAGTGGTTATTGCACACTCATAAGAGGTAACTTGCTTACTTAAAAAATTAAAAATATAGAACAATAATCCAAAAAGTATGTGAATTATTATGGTTGCGAAAGTTAATGAAAGAATTAAAACTGTTCAAAGAAAAGAGTTTATCCTTATTTTGTGACAATAAAGTAGCCATTAACATAACTCATAATCCAGTTCAATATGAACGATCAAAACACATTGAGATTGAGCGATACTTCATAAAAGAGAAAGTGGTTGATGACTCCGTATGCCTATATCATGTATCTTCTAATGAACCGGTGGCAAATATTTTCACTAAAGGACTTTACAACAAATCTTTTCATAATCTAGTCTGTAAGTTGGGAATGTTTAATATTTTTACCCCAACTTAAGGGGGAGTGTTAACTAAAATATTTTGTTCCCTTATTAATTAAGATATTTTTTCCTTTGTAATGACGTAACTAATTAGTAGAATCAATTAGAATCCCTACAATAATGTAAATTTTCTTATTCATAAATAGGAATTCTGTATAAATACTCTGGTTGTAATATCACAAATGTATAAAAAAAATAAATTGAATATTTTTTCACAAAAAATCTACAGTAATAGATTCTCAATTCTGGTAGAGTGCTGTAATACAACTATGTAGGAAGTATCCATGTATTTTTGCCAACAAAGTTTCCATGAGAGTGGTCATATCTTATATCTCCTCCAAGAAAGTTCTGCAATCATAGAAAATTTGTCGATTTCTTGATAAGCAAATACACCATAATCCGTCAAAAATTGCCTCTTGCCGAAGAGGTCTTGCTTCTTTCCTCACCCTATACCATAAATGTTAAAGCAAATATATCTTTATACAGTAGAAGGCATTACCCAACACAGACCGAACAAACTCACCAATTTTGTCCACATCCTCCAGGCTACATTGCAATGTAAGAAGAGGTTAGAAGAGGTTGTAGTGGATCTCACAAGCTCTAAAATACATTGCAGACGTCTGGGACAAGACTTTGTGAGGGTGACAGAGTTGGAGTATCTCAATCGTGTTAGACCTCTGATGAAGGACTATCCGCAAAAAAAACCTTAACCTTTAAAGTTACTGATGCTTGTCAAGTAATTTAGCAATGGGAAATGGAGAAGAAGTGAAGGATTTTTATAAGGTGGTCGAATAATGACTTGCATGTATACATCCTTAATGGTTCAAGGGTCCAGGATCTACTGTCTGGTTGGGTAAAATTTGAGTGAACACAAAAATGATCAATAAAGATGACATATCAAAAGACTTCCTACCAGATAGGTTGTTGTGTTTAAAGTAGAAGTTCCAAACTACTCCTCCCTTAGTATCATGGGTAGAAAATGACACTTGGCCTTTGTGTTTAGCAAAAAGATGGTATAGTGTAAAAAATGTAGAAATAATATTTAAACCAAAAGATCATCACTAAACCTTCCCTCAAAATACAAAGATTTCAAGCCCGAATAAGACATCTATAAAATCAGGTTGATTATATATATGTTGAGTATGCCCATTAATTCTGATCATAAGTTTTACAAGTCAATTCCATTACTATTCAAATATGATATTAAGCAAAACCAGAAGTTTATGAATACAAGTAGACTGATAGTAGTGTCAGAATGTAGAGTATGTTTTGCTATGTAATTGCATATTGTCCTATACGGTTAGTTTTCTTGTACAGGTCTTTGCTCATATAGTTAACTTTCCTACTTGTTTTCCTTTTATGGACATAAAGATCCTTATAAACATGGCTCTAGAATGTAAGGGCAAAGAGCTAAAAGTAAAGAGAACACAAGTTTGCACTTTATAGGAGACCTATTTGGCATGTCCACAACTCAAGTTGTTAGGAACTATTATATGGTGGTCCCATCCCTAGCCAATGACCCACATGCCGCCAAGCACAGGCATCTGAAGCTCACACACTATTTTTACTTGATGAAGATTAAATCTTGCTAGAATCACTTCAAATCAAATGTTTATTCTCTAGTAACTATGCAAAGTTGGTGCTTGCACCAATTTGATATCAAAACACATTTTTGCATGTTGGTTTAAAAGAAACTATGTGCATGGAAAATTCTCCAATTACGTTGCTCCATGCAAATCCAAGTTAACTTTTCAATTTAAAACATCTTATTTCGGTCAAAATTTATCTCCTAGAACTTGGTTTAAGAAGTGCTTTGAAGTATGATGGAGTTTGGTTTATCAAAGTAGATTTTATCATTCTATTTTTTATAACTGAAAACACGATATTAATTGTGTATATTGATAATATTGAGGGATTCAAAAGTTGAAACTTTTCTTTCAAACTCGATTCCAATTAAAGATTTGGGTCCTTTAATGTGCTTCCAATGTAGTTTAGGAAGTCAAATTAAAGTTGGGGATTGTTTATTAGAAAGAAAAATGTTCTTAATCTTTTGAATAAGACCATGATAGTGGGATCCAAACTAGTTGATGTTTCTAAAGGTCTTGGTGTCAAACTGGTTGTAGGTGAGGGTGAATTATCAGAAGACCAAGAAAGATATAGGACTTGGAAAATTGAATCACTTCATTCTGACTCATCTAGACGACTCATTGTTTACGAGTGTTTTGAGTAACTTTATGGACTCTCTTTGATGAGTCACTAGGAGGCAGTTATACATATTATAAGGTATCTCAAAGGTGCACTAAGTCAAGGTGACTCAGTACGAAACACGGGAATGCTTTTAATCTAGGATTGTGCTAAATACGCTGGATTATATTATGCTTCTCCATAACATCATATTATAACCATTTGAAAGGGAATGAAGGAGAGTCTAAAGAGTTCTCATGGAATTTGATCTGGAGGGCCAGGGCATCTCCAAGGATGGCTTTTTTTGCATGGGAATCGGTTAACGATTGCACTTTTCTGGACAACCATATAGAAGCAAATAAGTCATTGTTAAAGAGATGCCACTTCCATAAAAGGGCAGTGCGTATGGTCAGTCATCTCTTTCTCTGGTGTCATATTTCTACCATTTGTGGTGCTTGGCTTATATTCTTTTAGGGGTGAATTGGGTTGTAACGGGCCCAATCAAAGAAAAAGTTTGGGCATGGTGTGGCATCTAAGGGAAAAGCCCTAAAACAAGCATGCCTTATCCCTTTTGGCAACCATTTCGTTACATGGAAAGAGAGAAACAAGAGAACTTTTGAGGATATTGAATTGTCTTTTAATAGAATTATGGATACTTGGTTCAACACCTTTGTTTTTTTATAAAGGATCACCATCTTTATAATGTTTATGATTTAGGGGATTTAATTAATAATTTGACAGATAATATCTTTGTATATGAGTTGCATCTCTTAGTGCTTCTTTATACTAATTTATACTTTTTCTTTCAAAAAAAATAGAGTGGACTAGTTTCACTTGTGACTCTATTTCTCCTATGTTTTTTATAACGGTTATGGAAGCATTGAATAAAATATTGATCAGATCTAGAGAATTAGATTTATTCAGAGGCATTAAGGTGGGAGTGGAGAACAAGTTGAGGAGGTAACTCATTTATTCTTTGCAAATGATCCATGATATTTTGTGAGCAGCATATAAATATAATTCAGACTTTATATTTCCATGAAAAAGAAGTTTCGCGTGATCATATATCCACTATAAGTTAATGTATCTTTATGGGTCATAACATGATGGCTTGGAAAAGCAAGAAGTAGGGCTATAATTTCTAGATCTAGAGCTAAGCAGCATATCGAGATATTTCATACTATCTGTGAGTTAATTTGACTATATCATCTATTTCATGAATCAAGAGCTTGGTTTTCCAGAAACACAACCCATGAAATGACAGTTCTAGCCAATCAACAATCACATTGCTCCAAACCCAGTTTTTTATGAGGACTACATTCAAAAGTTGAGTGTCATTTTATTTGTGAAAAACTTCCACAGAATATTATTTGGACTGCTCATGTGCAGTCAGCAAACAAGTTTTTTCTTTTTCTATAAAGTCAGCAAACTCTTAGGGGGAAGCTCATGTAGAACATTATTCGCGACAACCTTGGTGTCTAAGATATAAATGCTTCAACGAGGGGGTCGTCAGAACATAGACTATGTCTGCTACATAGTTGTAGATTGTCCTATATAGGTACTTTCTTGTATAGATACTCTCCTGCGTAGTTAAATTTCCTATTCATAGCCTTCCTTTTCTTCATAAGACTCTTACAAATACCTATTTATATTTCCTGTCCAACATATAATAAAGTTACAATATTTCCTTCAACAAGTACAAATAGTTTCTCGATTCTAGCATGGGCCATGTCTCAAATTTTCCTTACAGCTATAGGTTGCAAGAAAAGAACTTTCTGAACAGTTAAGACAATAGAGAGGACTAACTTGCCTCACAAAAAAACTATCCAAGGCAAAGAGGACGAAGATACGAAATGAAAAGGATAAGGAGAAATCCGAGGCACAAGTTACCTGAAAACCAAAAATAGCAGCAAGCCACTCAAGTATGTCATTGAAAGACTTATAATTCTCATTTTGTGCATACTCTGGTACATCTGATGCCAAATGAAGCCTAGGTGGTGGAAGATTATTCACATTGCGAACGGCACTGAATGCAGCCTTGATCTGTAGTTTCAGGATAGCCATGATCGAGACTAAAGATTTTAAACACTATTTCCATGTAGAGAAGAAAACTGATATTAAATAAAGTGTATAAATATGACCTCTGGGAGTTCCATAATTGCTGCTTTAGCCCCAAATGCATGTAATGGAAGAATGTTATAGTGTTCATACTGTTCCTTTTTCCTTTCAACTTCTTCTGCATACCTGCGAGTCTATAATGAGAAAATAAATCCAAAATTTCAGTACCTTCTACATGCAAGCGATTACTTCAAATTTTATATTGAGTAAACCAAGTGTTTAGATAAAACCTTATCATCTACATGGGATGGAGATCCCACTGTCCTCAGCGCATCATATAATACCGTTGCAATCTGGTAAATTTTAGCCATCTCTTCCCTTCAAGAATATATGAAAGAGGAATGAGGTAGAATATCGACTGAACATTCCCATGACTGGTCAATGGTTTAAATATATATATTAAAAAAAAGAGCCTTACGGTTTCTTTTTCTCAGCTCCTTCTTTTATATTTTTCTCATAGAAGTTCTGGTAAAACAACTGAATTTCTTTCGGATCATTATTTGCAAGCATTCTCACTGTCTCTTCTTCTTCCTGCAGCAACAGAAATTAACCATTTTAATTTATTCCTGAAAGCATTAGCATTGAGTACATACATTGACCTCAATATTATATTAAAAAAATGTTACCACCTGTATTATGAATTAGCAAGAGAATAAAAACGTGAAGCATATCACTAGACATGTTAACAGCTGTATCCAAGTAATACATAGAAGAAGGAATACAGAATGATGAAAGCCACAGAACAAAGAATTCCCAGACAAACACAGATAATTGAAAAGTTACAGTGCATGATGTGTAATTAACAAGATGTTCTTCCTTCACTGAAGAAATAAGTTGGTTTGGTTAACATATAAACAAAAGGCCACAGCAATGTCCATATTATTTCTTCTTAACATTGAATGGCTAATCGAGCAAACGTTTCATATAGTTCTTCAAATCCACTAACAAGTAAGAAGTATAGAGGGGAAATTAGTTCCCCTGACAAAAATATATAAGTAAGCTGAAGGGGCATGTCTAGAGAGTAAAGAATAATATATACCATGAAGGGCTCTCTCCCAGGACCCAACTTGAAACCATAACTAGTTAATGCCCGTTAGTTAATAACAGGAATCTGATATATCTGTATGACTAGAAATAATCTCAGTCCATAGAAAAACAAACTACCAAAGGGATATATCATCTATCAATTAAAGGAAAAAAATTAATGTTAATTTTAGATATACCTTTTCAAGTCTATGTAACAAGTAGGTCTTAAACTGGCGAACACCCCGTCCGCTTGATGATGGATCCATCTTATGAGCCTTCTCAAATGCATGGAAACGGCCTAATCAAACAAACGATGGAGGGGTCAATAATAATAATTAAAAATAATAATAATAATTCTCAGTAGCAGAAGCATGAACAAATTACCTTCTGCAGTAGATATTTGATCACAATTTTTTAACACCTAATATTAACTACAACTTTTGGTCTAAATATTAATCTAGAAACCTCAGAAATTAAACAATTAAAAAAATAAAAACATGGTATGTTCATTGCCATCCTTAAAAAGCAAAATCCCAGTTTGTAATGGAAATGAAAAGAATCAACTTAAGAGAGTAGTAAAGTAAATGTATATATTTAGACAACAAAAATGTATATTAGACAGAGAGAAGATACAAAGTGGAAAGACAAGAAACCTTTAAACAAAAGAAAAGAGAAACCCCAAGAAGTAGAACAACTTTGAAATGTATATACATAAACAGAATATTACATAAATATAATACAGATAATATAGATATAAAGAAATGTAAAGCACTCAGCATTAAATATATCTACGCACATCCATATAATACATATACATTTGAATATTCAGAAATGTCAATATATTATACAATAACCAGACCCAACTATTGTAAATTTTCTAAGCATGTGTTTGTCAGGATTTGTGTAGAACAGAGCTTTAAATACTGGAGAAATTTTCTAATCTCCTCCCCCCTTTTATGGTGTTTCGAGAGGTTAACTAGGTAAATCTTTTCCTTCATCCGTGGTGTTTCTTCCTCTACTTTTCTACTTAATTTGCATTTTGTTTTCTTCTAATTATTCCTTTAAAATGCTCGAATTTACAAAAAAATTGCTTGCATGACTCAGAAAAGGAAATTTTACTCATATACTTGGGTGGATTTTTAGCCTCAATTCTGAATGTAGAACGGAGAACCTTTGGAGTCCAAATACCATATTGCCTCCATTTATATTAAGCTTATCTGTTGGGCACACATAACAAGGATAGGCAGATAAATTTTTCTGGTGGCAGTCCATCATCCACAACAGGTCTGCCTCACTACATAGGCATAGAGGTGTTTTCATGGACTAAATTGTAACCATGACAAGTTGAAAGGCCAATAGTAAGTGCATGCTAATTATACTAAACAGAAGGAGGGATTGAACTTCCATAGAATTGCATGATCAAAAACAGTTTATCCCGTTTATTGGATAGATTTTACTTGTTAAGTTTTCCATAAATGATTGGTTAAGCAAAATTTAAGAATGAGTAAACTGTGCGCATGATTTTTTTCTCAGTTCGCTTGGGAAAAAAGAAATATCCAACAATCTATCAGTGAATTGAAGACATATGCATCTTTTCACTCAAATATTACCAACAGACTAGAATCAATACTACAGCAACTTCAAAAAAAAATAAAATAAAGAAATGAAAAGAAAGAAGAAGCCAACGAGATTTGCCATACTAGAATAAGCGGAAAAGGAAAATGAGAGGGGAACATACAAAGATAGGCGACTCTTGGATTATCCTTCTGGATTTCATTGGCAACGCGAAGAATTACGGCAATGGGAGCGAGAGAGGAGGGAACGAGCTCACTGTCAACGAGGTTTTCGTTGTTCTTATCCGTGGCGAGTGTGATCGCCCGCGTCATCCTCCTCGACAGCGTTCGCGGCGGTCCTCCTTCATTCTTGGTACCGCTGGAACTAGCCATCCCAGACGCACAACAAATACGATTTTCAGACTCTCAATTTTTTGTCGTCTTCTTCTGATTCTTCTTCTTCTTGATGGAGTTGTCAGTATAACTTGAAGTATCTGGTTAGGTTTGATATATATGACACTGACACCAATGATTATCATTGTTTCTTTATGTTCTTTGTGAGTATAGAGATACTTTGAGTGAGATGTGGGGCAAGGTGATTGCTCTTGGAAGAAGAAAAGAATTCTTGAGGATGATATGGAAAGGAAAAACCAGACAGAAATGGAGGCTTTTTGCTTTTGAGTTAACAAATGAAGAGATGACACTGCTTTTGGTGGAGGAGCCTTTTTCTTCTCCATTATACTTTGCCTCAGGAATTTGAATCCACAACTGCAAACAGTAACAGGCGCTATATATATATAATATAATATAATATAATATAATATAACAATATCTTATATATATCTATCCATTGGATTTCACTTGTCTATTCTCTCTTCCAAAATAAAAAATTAAATTAAATCCTTTATTTCTTTCTATGTGTTTGATTAAAAAATTAAAATTAAAATTAAAATTATATATATATATATTCAAGCTATACATAAATATAAATATAATAATTTTATTTTTTTCTTTCATTCTTATTTTTTACATTTCTAATTACCTCTCATCCTTTGAATAATCGTATCATATTAAATAAGTCAACTTATATTATACATTTCTTAATCTATTCATTGAGTTAAAAGATTTCATAAAATCTATAATCAATTTCGTTTTAACAATTAAATAATTATACCGAAACATTAACATAAAATTTATAGTCATTTAATAGAATATTAAGAAAAATAAATATGAACAGCGTATCTATTCTTATTAGGTTTTGTCAACTTCTCATCGTGTATTAAATTGTTATAATTAAATTTATTTCTCACACACTATATAAGTTACCATTAGATACACAATTTTTTCGTGAAGTATTCGTGTAGTTTTCTCTTATTAAAAGTTAAGCTATAAAAATAAATGAGTTATGTAATAATTAATTTTAAATATTCAAATAATAAAATCATAGCTAATATCATTTAGTTATCAATTACCAAAGATTATATTATATAATTACTTATTATGAATCGTATTAATTAATGTATAATGTTCTCAAATTATTAGCCATGATAATATTTGATTTTCATTCACTATATAATGTTGTATTTAATACTATTCAATTAGTAGATATCATATAAGATATATTTGATTATTAAATATTAATACTTTTGAACATCTTAATTTTATAATATCTTACAAAATAATATATAGTACTAATTTATTCAAATACTATTTACCAATTTATAATTAAAATTTAGTGAATTTACTATATTTTCTTGCAATGTTATCTATTTGACTTTTATTTTGTTGTTGTTTCAAATTTTTCTCATTTTCAATAATTTCATCTTCTTTGTTTTTTTGAAATAGTAATAACGATTCCATTATTAAAGTATTTTATACAAGAAAATTGGGAATTGATCCTAATGACAGAAGCTAGCATGACTATGAGAAGCTCTAACAAGTAGATGAGCTTCCATATTAGCTTTGCATGCAAACCCACCTAACCTTTATATTTGGTCTACCCTGTAGCAAAATCTTACAATACTCTAAGATAATTTCTAATTCCGATATGTCGGCTTTATCATTGTTTATAACATTTGCAATGGTTTAAGCATCTACAAAAATAGTCTCTTACTCTTGATAATGATCTGTCGCCCATAAAATGGTCTCTCTGACTGCAACTGCTTCTACGATATCGAAGTGACATAAGATATCGTTATGGCCTAAGACAACTTTAATAAAATTTTTCTCTCCATCCTGAAAGATAGCCCCGAAACCATACTTGTACTTTTCTCCAAAAGTAGTCACGTCCATAAAATATAGTTATCCATTACTTTTGTAACGATCCCAGAAATCTAAAAGAGAATATATAATAATTAAATGCGGAAGCGAAATAAAAGGTTAAGGTTTACATTCTTTACACAATAACTTAAAAATATTTAGCAGTATTACGGAATTAATTCTTTGGAAGAAACACGAGAAATAAAGAAACAAATGAAAAATAGAAAATATCTAGCATCTATTCGTATTCTTCTTGCGAATCGGGCTCTAGAACCTGATCCTCTTGATCTGAAATAATTAAGTAAAGGATGAGCTACACTAGCTCAATATAGATATCACACTATATCACCAGCACAGAAGTAAAAGTTGATATAAAATCAAAATAATTAATGCATCACGAAATTTAGCAGATTCGTTTATCAATCATAAAATTATTTACCGTTTACTTACCACAGTGAAATTTATGAAAACAATCTATAGAAACAATAATATCATACAGATCATAACTTCATGAACAATCAGCAACATAGAATATATCATAAATTCATATCCATTAATAATAAACCAAATCTTAACCGTTTCTCATTTCACCAACCTACTAGTATCCATTGGGGTTCATAGGGGTGTCCTCGCTACACGTGAACCCTTTCTTTTAACATTCTCAATTACAGCGTCGTCCCCATACCCCGTCCGGTATGAGTGTCAATTTATCAAACCTCAATACCCCGTTCGGTATGAGGGTGAAGTGGGTTGTCCCCATACCCCGTTCGGTATGGGCACCAAATTATTAGGTCTCCATACCCCGTCTGGTATGAGACAACGTCCACGGTAGGATTTCCTATGTACCCAGTCCGTCCACCATCTCTCAGGATATCCAGTAAAGCTGTCGTCTCATCTATTCATTTAAATCACACAATTTTCTTATCGTTTAATATTTTCCTTTTTTCGAATCAGTAGTAAACACATCAATTAAACATATATGTGTAACGGTTCCGGAAATTAAAAGAGAAATGTATATATAAAAATATTCTGAGTGCGGAAGCGTAATAAAAATTTTGATTAACATCCCTTACACAATAACTAAAACGTACTCAACATATAAAAAAATAAGCTAATTAAAAGAGATACTCGAAATAAAAACTATAAATAGAACTATAAAGTCTTTTGGCATCTAACTCGCCGTCTTCCTGCGGAACGGGCTCGGGAACTACGTCTTCCCGATCTGAAATGGTTAAGTAACGAATGAGCTACACTAGCCCAGTAAAACATCATACTATCTCACCGCCACAGAAGTAAAAGTTGGTAGAAATAAAACG